ATATATATATATATATATATAACGAAAACAAATGATAAACGTATCTTTCTAGTATTAGTTAATATATTCAATCACTTATTCACCGACTAATAAAAGTATGTATTCAGATTCTGACAGCTAGAATATCTCGGAATTAAAGCGGAATAATTCAAATGAATTATAAATTGAGACGTGAATTTGTTACCTAATGAATGTACTACTTTCAATTAGTAAACTTAATGGATCTAAAATTGATGATATGCGATTAGCAGTTGGTGATAGTAGTGTATTATTGCTTTTTAATACAATGATTTCTCAGTACAAAAAATTAAAACAAATTCATTAAAATTTTTTGTTTCTCAATTCATAGATTGTATGTTAGACTCAAAATAGGTGAGGCAAACATATCAAGGCAAGTATATAGTAAACAGAAACTGATTAATCAACAATTAAAATGTATTAAGTTGAGACGAATTTCACTATATGATGTTAAAAAGTAACTTAGATAATATTGATTTGCCTTTAAGGTTTACATAAGTTTGTCGTTAAAGTAATTAAACTAGTGTTTGATGATCGGTAAAATATACTGAATATAAAATTAATAATTATTGATTTATCTATAACTTAATAAAAATTTATGCTTCATTATGAACTCAATGTTCCGACTACATTATGATCCTTTCATGGACATATGTGAAATTAGATTGTTTCCAGAACCAATTTATCCTATAATTTTTATAACAAAATTTATTTGCTGGTAGTTATTAGAATAACGTTTAAATGAATTATCCAGTGTGTTCAACAAACTAATAGTCGGTGATTGTAAACTGACATAGGCTTTTAACTACTTCATAAAACTTTAATCAACTGTGGATTCAACATGCCAATATCATTTAATCATTGAATGCAATGAAAGTTTACCGGTCCCTAAAGAGTAACTTAGTGAAACGATCGATTCATTTATAACATGTTACAAACGAAAAGAAAACGATATAACACCATGAATTTTAAGTAGAATTTTTTCTGTTTGAGAATATTAAAAACGTCAGTTATAAATGGTACAATGACAATGCATTTCATTTAATGAGGAAGTTCCATTACTTTCAAAAATCCTGATAATCATTTGTTGCTTAAACATTAACTGAGGCTAAAAAAACATTTAAAGCTTTTACATAGACAATTTGCTGTTAATAAATAATAAAGTATCTAAGCAAACTCTGAGAAATTGATTGACATTTGCCTGTATGGTCGTACCGTAATGTAGAAGAAAAACGTGATTTAACGCAATCAAGTTTCATATGAGTTCATGCAACTGTCCATCAAGTTACGTAATGGTCTGAAAATCAATTAGATGCATAACTTTCAAGCTTTAAATTAAATATAGTCATACCATTGTTGGCCAAGTAAATGAGCATGACAAATTGCAAAATCTTTAAAATACACTGTTGCCATTATGAAATTTATTTAAAAACATACCAGTTAAGTGACTGGTATTTTGAAACCACACAATTAAATACGCGCTTGTGTACTACGCTTTCCACATCATGCTATTTCATAAGTGTTTAGAATAAATCCAGACGGTGTTGAGTGTGCACAATGTGCCGAATCGTTACAAATCGAATAACTTCTCCATAGGAAACTCTCTAGGAAGTCAGTAAATATCTCAGATAATAAATCGTTTAGGGACAAATACTTGTAACACCAAAGAAACTTCTTTCATAACTACCAAACTTCGTAGTACGTTTGGCAATGAACATTAGTAAATCTATTACTGTTTTAACCGACATTCGATACCTAATTAACACAACACAAAATTTGATCACAAGCTATACTAAAAATTATCAATAAAAGTTTCAACTATACATAAGTTCTTTTCATAAATAAAGAACTATGTATATAAATATACATCCATATATAATGGAAACTTGAAGGTAGTCACCGCCCAAATGATCAATTAAGACAACCATGTAATAAAGTGATGTATTGAGCTTTGGAAAGCAAAATGAATTAATTTGAAATGTTAGATTGAATCAAAACAATAATAGTATTTAAATACTTTACTTAATTGAATCAGTAATTAATTTCTTTTCGTTTTACACTTTAAAATATTAGTATTAGCGTCAATAAATATCTTTCATGTTCGACAGTGAAACAGGAAAACTTTGTCTATGAAATCATGATCACAAACTTCTTATTAGATAGAGAGTAAAATAAATTCCTATGGAATATTTAGTAGAATTTATAGTTTATTCATATATAAAGTAAGTTGGCTGTTAGTTATCTTATACGACATATTATAATAATTTTAATGGTTGAGATCAGGAGTCAGTTGTAAGTAGACCACTATGGAAAACCTGGAAGTACTGTACGGCCGTTTTGTCCTATTGTGGTACTCCTCAGCAGTGATCTCGATCATTAAAATCATTATAATATCCACGAAACCCCCTCTGATACTAATCGACATATGCTCGCTAGTGACTAGCTTCAAGAGGTATATCCTGGAGTTGAAGTGAGAAGTAGTGACCAGTGACGTTCAACCAGGTCTGTTGTGAGATAGTAACTCACTGAAGATAATGGTGGATGTGTAGCTCAATTTTGTGGATTAGTTGGAGTTAGACATTAAAACCGTTGGATGCCGGCTCAGTGGTCTGGTGGTTAAGCGCTCGCATGCGAGAGTGATAGGTTCTGGGTTCGAATATTGCGGAGAGCGAGATTTTGGATGCGCACTACTGAGGAGTCCCACGATAGGACGAAACGGTCTTCCAGTGCTTCCAAGTTTTCCATGGCTGTCTAACTTTAATTGACTCATGATATCAACCACTAAAATTATACGACATAGTTCTCTACCTGTTACATCCATTGTTTTCATCTGATATCACTCATTTACTTTGTAGTGGAAGAATGTGAAGATATTGTGGAAATTCGAATTTATTTATTGTAGTAAGCGATAGTAAATGCTGAGATAAACAGTGACTAAATCTATTAGTTATTTTTTAGTTTGACAGCTATTTTTAATTTTAATTTTAGCTCAGTAAATCGTTGAATGTTTGTATACTATCATTCTAAATGTAAATTTAAACAGAAACATTTACATATGAAACATTTACTTGTAGAAATTTTATGACCACAAAACTTTTCAGATCGTGAATATAACAAGTTTCTGACGTTTTTGCCAGGTTGAAATACTTTCTGTTTTTATAAAAAAAATAAGCTCAGAAATAATTTTTTCAGATTACTATTATTCATAAATTCTGTAATAACTATTTTTTTAAGAAGTTTACACTATATACTATACAACCACTGGATAAGTGATTGATCTAATGATAACAGATACTTCATAACGTTATTTTGAGAATATTTTTAATTTTAATTATTGATTCAGCAAAAAATAAGGAACATGATGCAACTGGAATGTGAAAACCATAGTTTTAACTTCTAATTAGTGAAATTTATATTGTAGTCAATAGGAGTTATCTTTTGAAAACATTTAATTACAGAAATTAACGACGATTGGTATGACACAAGTCTATGTGGAATGTATGTTTTTAGTAGCGTTTTTACAAGTGAGTTTTTAGCAATTTTAAAGTGCTAAAAATTTCTAAATTGTAAATTAGAACATTACTTATAAATGAACAACATTGTTTACAATTAGATCTTCATCAGGCTTCACACTAGTATACATATATATTTATTCAAGTATATAACAATAATAGAAACCTCAGAATAATTCATGCATCAATGATCACAGTGTAAAAGATTGCATAACTACACATAACAAGTAAAAATGTACAATTTGATAGGAAGAAGACTATACGACCAAGGAAAGTACAGGATTCTCTGGGATTTCTTCTGAACTTATAAGCTAGGGTTGAAGGTTCAGGTCCCTATAGTTTCTACTATATGTTGCAGACAAGATCATACCTCACTGAGAAACGACGAAGGTATACGATCGATCACTTGAAATGATTTTATTTATCAAATGACCACTATCAACCAGGTATGCCAATATAGGTCTGAGAATAGTCTTTGTTTAGCCCTTTCCATACCAAGCTGGGAAATATTCACTCATTCATTGATTGAAATGATTAGTAGTATATCTAATATTGCTACTTCTACGGAGATAGCTATGTTGAATGTAATATCAGGCAACTTAACCAACAAATGAGTGAACCAAATGATACGTTGATAAGAGTTTTATTTGATTGTAGGAATAGATAAAGTGAACAAAATTAACTTAATTTGAAGTATTTTATTCATTCACATTAATAAGGCACAAATAGAGACAATCGTAAATGTTTTCACATAAATATTACTTATTACTTATTTCTGAGTAATGAAACATGTTGTTTCTTATGTACATTAAGAGACTTAACAAAACAAAAAAAACATAATATCCAGCAATATGTGTTACACAAAAAAGGTACTCTGTCAAAATAAACACTTAATAAATGTGTAAATTGATTTTGACCTGATGAGAAATTATTGAAAAGAATATTCTTTGTTCATATAATTGTGTTCTAAAAATAAGATAAACAATGGTAGTGTGTCGGCTGATGTACATATGTAGAAGGACAATATGTTTTGCTTTTTGAAAAGAAATCCAACTTGCATATATTTATGAAGTATTCCATGTGATAACTTTTTCTTTAAAAATATATCCAAAATGATAAAGTAATAATAGGTAACACACATGAAAATAGCTGAAAGTCATAAAACAACGGCTGAAGGAAGTGATAGTAAAAAAAAAGAAAAGTGTTATCAGAACACCTGTATATGAAGCGGTTTAAATTGATTATATCAAAACAGAGTAAATTGTTGTAGTAGATTAGATAAAATAGGATAGATATTATTTTTCTTACTTGTGTACATTTACGTGTAATTATGAAATATGTCGTATATATATGTAAGTTAACTGAAACTATATATTATTTCAAGAATACAGACAATAATGAGTAATGTGAATATTAGGAAAATTATAAAAGTTGAGAAATTAAGATGAACATTCAATAAAATAATACAGGATAATTTAATATGGTTTTATTTTCACTTATATTTCATACAAAAAAGCTCAGTAGATTGAAAAGACTGGAGAAGAAAGAAAACAACGTTTTGTGAAAAAAGAAGTAGCAATCGGTGATATATTTTAGATACGTTTATAAACTCCAAGTAATGTTCCACATTCTGGACAACTGTGATAAGCATCTTTGCATGAATTCACATAAAATGGTATTAAACAGCATCCAAATATACCGCTAAAATAACAAATTAGTAGTCACAATAACTAATTAATAATATGTTATGCCATAAACACACAGAAAACATTGTTTATTACATACCTTATCTTCTAATCATATTTTAAAATAATTCTATAACACATAGATAGTGCAAAAACAATTATCATGTTTTATCGAAATAGTTTTGATACTTATTTTGTTGAGGAGTACCACAATAGGACGAAATGACCATCCAGTGCTTCCATGATGGTCTAGCTTTAATTGACTCATGATCGCAACTATAAAAATTACTTATTTTGTTGTTTGTTTTCTTAACTGTTGACATGATAATACTATCATAAATGAATAGCTATCCAATTATTAAATTTTGTATCTATACTTTTTTATGTTATTTCATTAAATAAATCTATAGTGCTTAGTTTAAAAACTAACTCGTTGGATTGTAGTCAGTGAAACTTAAAATCTCTTATCTTATACTGAGTATTTAAAGAAAACTACGATGTTAAGAATGAGAGGAAATAAAAATAAGAAAAAGGATAAATTCAATAGACAGCTATGGCATACGTTTATAAGGAGAAATAACCTGAGAACTGAATACAGAATAATATAAAGTATTAATGTCATAAATTCACTTGGTGTAGTTTTACTTGTATCTTCCCATTGTTGTTTAGGACTGCAATTGATCAGTCTCATGTTGACATATGTGCATCCTGTGAGGATTGCCTTGATAAAGCCTGAAGTCACAAGTTTTTAAGCAAATATGAATAGTGGCTAGCAGTGGAATCTAGGACGCGCGTATCGTCATATTTGGGACTCGTCAGCTGGATGTACCTGCATCTCAGAGTTGATGTTCACTCCGAAACTCAAACCCAGTACTGTTCGCTTCAAACGCCATCGAGTCCCAAAGTGAACATCAACTCTGCGATGCAGACACATCCAGTCGACAAGTCTCGAAAGAACGAAATGCGCATCCTGAATTCCACTGCTAGCCATTATCCATCTTTTAATATTGTCATAAATTAGTATTATTACGAAGTTTTAGAACCAATAATTTACTGAATAATTAGTGAGTAAATATAATTAATTTAACAAATATTTTGGGGAGTTATAATTTGTTATTTTAATTAATTGTACTTTGTACAGTGAGTTTAACCAATAATTTGAAAATTACGTATACGAAACACCATAGACTACACAATCATATGCTTTGAAAGAATTATCAGACAGATAAACAAAACGAATAGTATTGATTGGTTTCCTGATTATGATAGATCTACCTGGCTAACTAGTATCAACTGGTTTGAAAGCTTATTTTCAGGCTTTTTGGAGATTGTCTTCAGGTATCCACCGGTCAGTAAACGTTACAATGAGTTTTATGAATTTAAATTCAGTTGTTGTCTAATAAATTATATACAGGTAAATTAACATGAAACTATGCATAATAAATTTTTGCAGCTTAGAAGTCTAAAAGCCTTAATAAATTTAGGCAGTAAATTTCTAGAATGCGTCATTACATGACAACCTTCTTCATTTATAACTGATCTTTTGTTTGAAATATAACATTTACTCATACGATAATGATAAGTGATTACTTTGTCATGGAACGTGAAAAATACGATTTATGTAAAAAATCAGTCAACTGTAGCATTTGTGTTCTACCAAATCCAGTAATGTAACGTGAAACAACCTTACATATTTATCTTAGGTATTGAATTATACACCACAATATTTGTAGAAACAAAAAAATTTATTCATTTTAGCGAATTTTAACAGTTCATTAAACTTATAAAAACTTACCCAATTAATGTTATTCCAGTACAAGCCATCCAAGTACATACTCCTTTCCGGTACTGAACTATTGTAGTAATCTTATTCATGCAAATACCACATGATGAAGAGACAGGTTGAGGGCCATAGTACATAGTGGATACCAGACCAATAGGCTGCTGAACTATAGATGTTTCTATACATATAAATGGAGTGATATTTTATTATCATAAAATATAAATTCAAAGTAAAATTTAAGGAGAAATATATTATTCAAAAAAATCGTCAAAGCCTCCTAAAAGTGTCAGTGAAAGAAATGGGGTATCATATATAAATATAAATATATATAACATAAAACAAGAATACGGTTTAAACAGTGATGACATAACCATATTGAATTTTATCAACTAAATTAACCCATAAAAAGTTTGATTAACTTTCATATTTTACAAGTAGGTTTATAGGCCTTAAAATGGATATGAATAATTGTTGTCGATGCAGAACTACACTTCCACAATATCGATTTAAGATTCTTTGTGTACTTTATGTAGATTTTCAGAATGATAAATATAGCTAAAGCGAGTTTAGCTGCATAAAGTGGATTGGTTTACTTGGTGAATTAATATCAGCTGCTTATGACTTAGAAACAACAGTCATATTCATTTAAAATCAATGTACATAATTTATTTGATTAATGAAAATCAGTAGAATAACGACGGCAGTTATGAAAGAATTGAATAGGGAGGCCTTGGTGTAATATGATAAATTCAAAGTTGTTTAAGTGCTGATTATTTTAAACTATTTTAAAATATCAAAATTACATCTATTATTAAATAAATAACGACTGAAGGGATTGTTAAAAATGCGCTGACCTTTTAATCTCAGTGTTTGTCGAATGTGCTCTGAGATTCTAACAAAAACCACCTTTCTGTTTTTACAATGTAAATACCTCGGCGCAAACATGTACACTGGTAAATACAATTGAAGTTGACATGAGGTGGGAATTTGTTCGATATAACAAAACTAGTTTAGCCAACAGTAACATCTTATTCAGCATGATTCTTATGAGGAAATAGTTATTACTTAGTTAAATAAATGGTGAGGAAAAATATAAGAATCATTAAACAAGATTAAGTATTAGTGTCTTGAGGTTATCGTGGCCCTATGAAAACAGAAATACCAGTAAAAGTTTAACTTTTATTATGAACTAGCTCTAGCAATGTGGTAGAGAACTCATAAGAAATGACACTACTGAAAAACATTCACACTGCATATACTACTTTTGATAAGAGCAAATAGATTATTATATAAGTGATAAATGATGAATGCATATTTTGTTTTACAGTAATAAATAAAAATCTACAGGAAAATCTAGGAGAGACATTTTGAAGAATAAATGTGTATAGTTCTGATAATCTTTGTCTTCCTATTACACTATCTAAATATGCATAGTATCTGAGTAAATTAAATTCATAATAGGCTTTAACTTAAAACTTCTAAAATTGATTTTTACGATGATTAACCTTCAATAACAAATATTAGAGCCGAAGGTAATATTAAAAGCCATTATATTCAGTAGGATTCTATTCTAATAGAAATTCCTCATACTTCATAATTGAATCAGTGGATTAATATCAGTTGAAAGTCAAATACTCATTAAATACTATTCCCTGTCAGTTATTTAGCGAAAATTCTCGTCATAATAGATTGACTATAACTAAATAAAAGGTCTGTTTATCACTATCATCACTGTTAACAGAAAATAATAAACAAACACGTACTGATCCGAATCAGACATTTTGAATACATGAGTTAATATGAACCAAATATAAGATTATCATCATGAAGTCTATCAGGGTAATATGGTCTGTTTACAGGTGTAAGCTTGTTGTAAGTTATCTGATTTATTTGAAAGACATTGGATAGAAACACGTGCCTCAAAAACCGAGGTATCTACATGAAAAGCATGTGTTTAAATGGCCTTAAAAAGTGAAAACAAACACGATTTTTGCTGAAGTTTCATTAAGCTTAACTTGTCAATATGAAAATGTAATGTGTTATGAAATATACAGAGTGATTAAAAAAAATCAATGGTGAACAATTTTTTATGGGCTGTCTGTTTTGTAGTAAATGCTTAATGAACGGTCCATAGAAAATTGAAAATGATTGAAATTTCAGTAAACAATATATCAGTAGTGTGTAATCAGAGTAACAGTTAGACTCATATATAATGCTCGTGAAGGTTGATGAACTGTACTATTATACGTCAGTAATTTTCTAATGAAATGCTTGTTAAATCTACGAAGTGTACTTTTGTCAGTTATTTCGCAAGATTAATCTGTCATTTATATTTAGCTCGTTTTACTTTAGCTTGTACTACTGAAAAACTATATTCATATCTTTTAGTTGATGTCATATACTTTACTTATCAACTCTTTACTAGATAACAAGAAGTCCTCATAAGCGATTTTAATGTGCATTTAGTATTACATCAAACTTTTTTTAAAAATTAATGACTAGGTAGGCCTTACAAAAACTAATTACTAATTCTGACAACAAGTTATGTTGATGATGAAGCGGCCATATTCTTGAAACTTTACTGATTTTAAGTGTCATAGAAGATGACTGTTGTTGGAAACTTTGCTTTTGTTACTTTGTACTCTTTATAGTCAGTCATAGTATTAACATTATCAATGTTATATTTCGTACACGCTATAACCAAGTAAATTCAAGTGGAATGCACTGTTGCTCTTTGAAAAGATGCATCTTCTAAATATGACCGAAACTGAAGTTAGTCATCATCATACTATAACCTTGGACAGATGTCCATTGCCTTAAGTTGTCTTATTATATTAGCACAACGAGATGAAATTGACAAGATGTATTTCAAACAAGGCAAAAACTATATGATGGAAAATGCTAGTATTTTAAAAATTACAAAAATGACTAAGAAACACAGTAAATTAGACAATTATTAAAGGACTTTCAGCAGACATAAACCTACGCCACATTTTCGTTAAATTAAATTTCAAGTTGATGTATATCAGTTAAGATAGTTTTAATTTACAACTGATGTTACAGATCTAAAGTGAATTAACACTCGACATCGTTTTTATAAATATCTTACTTCAAGAGGAGGTTAATTTATTTTCACTAGATATCATACAATGAATTAAAAAAACAAGTTTGATAAAGCTTAAGTTTTCTATAAAACCATGATAATGAAAGGACAAGTGAGATTTAATATTATAGACATAAAAAATGTTCAGACATAACTTTGTTAAAATTTATGTACAAATTGAAAATTTCTTCTGGAAAACAAAACTTTCTAACCATATCAATTTAGGTCGTATATTACAATAAATATTTTACAGCAAGAGTGTTACATGTCTTAGTTCTTCCGCTATTCTTCAGGTTCTTTGTAATTCTCGTGATAAATTACTTGTCATTAACTTTCGAATAAAATCAGAACATATACTCACTAGTAACTAGCTTCAAGAGGTATATCCTGGAGTTGAAGTGAGAAGTAGTGACCAGTGACGTTCAACCAGGTCTGTTGTGAGATAGTAACTCACTGAAGATAATGGTGGATGTGTAGCTCAATTTTGTGGATTAGTTGGAGTTAGACATTAAAACCGTTGGATGCCGGCTCAGTGGTCTGGTGGTTAAGCGCTCGCATGCGAGAGTGATAGGTTCTGGGTTCGAATATTGCGGAGAGCGAGATTTTGGATGCGCACTGCTGAGGAGTCCCACGATAGGACGAAACGGTCTTCCAGTGCTTCCAAGTTTTTCTTGGTGGTCTAGTTTTGACTGACTCATGACCTCAACCATTGAAAATCATTATTTAAGTAATAAGTACACGCCTACTTAATATTTATTAGATATAGTAGTTTTTAAATAGAATGAAAGGAAGTATTTTAATTTTATTTCCGTAGAACTCAATATGAGATCAGTTTTGACAAAATGATTATAAACAATATGATCAATTTATATCACTCTGTAAAATTAAATTAGGTATTTTAGGCTTATAAGTATCATATTTTTTTAAAATTAATACTGAGTAAATAATTTTTACAATATCTGCAACTTTACGTCTAAGTAATTTCTATCTTCCAGCAGAGAATTAATTATTATCAATGTTTATAAGAATGACAATAAGCAGTTTAATGATTATCATCGTACAAATTCAGTAAACCGATCAAATCTTGTTATTATTTGTTTATTTATTTATTTGAACACATAAATATTGGTACAGGGGGGCACCAAATATATATGCGCCACACAAAACAATGATAATTTGAAGAGAAGGAGAAAAGAGAAAAAAAAGAAAAAAAAGTAATGGACGTGGGGAATTATAAAAAAAAAGGAAGAGAGAGAGAACAATGGTGGGGGAAACGGAAAGGTACAATCAGAAGAGATCTTTCAGTTAAGGAAGATACAACCACTTTTTATGAAGAAAGTAAAAGAAGGTTACAGCACAATCGCCACTGGCTTCTATTCTTAGCCATATCTGATAACGTCTCTAGCCACTGCGTTACACCGTCTCTCGGACCCCAACCAGGGAGTCGTGAAGGACCAACAGAAGCTAGCCCTTTGCAGCTTTCTTTCATACCACGACACCATGTCATATACTGACCACCTCTCCGCTTTTTCCAACCAGTCCCAGAGTCGGCAAATAATGCACGACGTGGAATTCTCTGGGACGACATTCGTAAAACATGTCCAAGCCACTGAAGTCGGTGTTTCAAGATGGTGACACCAATTTCATTATCGTCTCTGTGGCCGAACCTCTGCATTACTGACATGGTGTTGCCACTGGATGCCAGCAATCCTTCGGAGACAGCGATGATCGAACACAGAGAGTCGTCTAACATCCTCAACTCGGAGAGGCCAGGTTTCACAAGCATAGAGCAGAACTGCTCTCGTCGACACGTTGTAGATTCGACCCTTTATAACCAGACTGACATCACGAAGGCACCAAAGATGGTCCAAATTGGCATAAGCCACTATGGCTTTCACTATACGTGCATTGATCTCATCACTCACACCACCACCAGCACTTATGCAGCTACCTAGATACACGAACTTCTCGACTACTTCAATCTGCTCACCATCCAGAGTGAGTACAGGATTAGAATCCTGCCAGTCTTGTAGAAGAACTTTGTACTTCGAGGGTGCAAAGCACATACCATACCTTCGGACACTGATTGCTAACTGATTAAGTGCGGATTGTATGGATTGAGCATTCTCTCACAGTAAGACAATATCATCCGCATACTCAAGGTCGAGAAGTCTTTCTCCAGGCAACAGATCCACACCACCATTACTTACATCCGTCAGAGCTGTTTCCAGAATGTCATCGATGGCAAAGTTGAAGAGGAATGGTGAGATTGGGCAACCCTGCCTAACCCCACTGCTCGAATGGAACAATTGAGAAAGGTGGTTGTATGCCCTCACTCTGCCTGAGGTGTTTGTGTATAGGGCTTTTAGGATGTTAATAAACTTCTCAGGCACACCCTTCTTCAATAGACAATCCCAGAGAACAGTTCTGTCCAACGAATCGAAGGCGGCCCTGATATCAAGAAACACTACGATTGTTGGCCTTTGATTAGTATGGCGGTGTTCTAACACTTGGCGGAGGGTGAAGATATGATCAATACATCCTCGACCAGAACGAAACCCAGCCTGCTCCTCGCGAGTCAATCTTTCTCGGGTTCTGAACAACCTACGAAGTATGACGGAAGCCAATAGCTTGGACGCAATCGGAAGTAGACTTATCCCCCGATAGTTGTTACAGGAACAACGTGAACCCTTTTTAAAGATAGGGACAACTATCGACTCATTCCATGACGTTGGTACACACTCTAGTTCCCAGATCTTTGTAAACAACGTCGTCAGTCCCTTAGTCAGAAAGTCACCACCATCTTTAAAAAGAGCCGGAGGTAAGTCGTCTGGGCCCGGTGATTTGTAACGTTTCAAGAGTTGGAGTTCCTTGCGGACTTCCGCCTCATTTGGTGGATCAGTCGTCACCGGCCATGGAGGGCAGGACAGTCTGACCGATGTTGCCGGAGCAGCAGGCCAGTTGAACTGCCCTTCAAAGAACTCTGCCCATCGTCCAAGACGTCGATGGATGTTAGTGACTGGCGTTCCGTCATCCTCGCAGATTGTTTCGCTCACACCAGACTTCTTGCTGCCAGTGGCTCGGATGAGTTGGAAGAGCTTCCGGTAATTACCAGATGCAGCTGCTGCTTCCAACTCACTGGCACGCTCCGACCACCAGGCTTCTCGGTCCCTACACAATCTTTGCCCGATTTCATTACGTAACATCCTTCGTCTGTGGTCAAACTCACGGTCACCCGGAGTAGACCGACGGGCTTCAATCAGTTGTAAGGAACCAGAAGAAACCCAGTGCTTGTAAGCGGGACGTTTCGCAAACCCACAACTGACTTGACCCGCCATTTTCATGGCGTCATGCAATTGGAACCAATGCTCATCTATACTTTTCGGTGGAATGGTAGTTAGCCTAGAAGCTAGCTCGGTTCGGTACATACTAGCAACAGAAGTTGCAGCCAGCTTGCTAACATCAATCCTTTGGTGGCGGTCACTTCGTTGGCCACTGAAAAGTAAGGTAAGATTGGCGCAGACCAGAGCATGATCAGATTCCAGATAGGTACTCTAAAAGGAGCGGCAGTCTTGTACACAACCGCGCCAGCGGTAGCTGATCGCGATGTGATCAATCTGAGTCCAGGCTTGAGATGCAGAAGGGGGACGCCAGGTGGCACATCGGCGATGACTGTGCCGAAAGTTAGTGCTAGCCAGAAACAGGTTGTGGTCTGTGCATAGTTGCAGTAGACGTTCCCCGTTATCTGTCCTGCGACCAACGAGTCCCCATCGGCCACCTAAACGACTCTCTTTTGTGCCTAGACGCCCGACCTGAGCATTCAAGTCTCCAGCTAGTACTACAATATCTGTCGAACGCACTTTCTGGAGAAGAACAGTTAGCTGATGGTAGAACTCGTCCTTGATTGCATCCGGGCTGCAATCTGTCGGGGCATAGGCGGAGATGACGAAAAGACATCGTTTCTCACGCCGATTTCTTCTCACTTTGATGGAACTTTCTAATCTAACAGCACATAACCGACTGTTAATGGGGATCCAGTCGACTAGTGCTGCCTCAGCTCTTGCGCTTAGTGCGACACCAACGCCAGCAAGACCAGACGAAGATGCCACAGGGTCCCCGGATAAACGCACATAAAACAAGCTTTTTGAAGCGACAGATGGAGAGCGAACTTGTAGTACTTCACCAGAGTCTTGAATACGGGTCTCGGATAGACAACACACATCAATATTAAGACTTTCCAAAGACATAGCCAGCCCTATCTGTTGTCCGACCTGCATAAGTGTGCGAACGTTGAAGGCAGCCAGTTTGAATGGTGCACGTGGTTTCAGAAAAACTGCTTCAGTACTCATATTCGGTAGTAACATACAATTTTCAACCAGGCAGTGACTTGAGAACGTTTAGATAAAGCTGAATTTTCACCATAGGCGAGCTGCTGTCTGAGTCGAAGCGGATACAAAAGTAGAAATAGGAGATAGTGAATAAATGACGTAGTAGATAATAATAATAATAACAATAATAATATTAGTAATAATAATAATAATACCAGTCATTTCAATGTTAGTCGGAGAGAAACGAATATTTCTATAAGCAGATAGTTCATCATGGCTTTAGTGTGTGGGCTGAGATACTGCCCGGGTGCCCAAACCGAAGCAGGTGGTTTTCTTAGGGGGCCACACCTCGAGCCTTTGACCTAAAGGTCTAGTCCACAAGGCAGTGGAGCATCGTGAGGAGATGCAGTCCCATGGTAGCCGGTGACCAAAAGTTGGTTCATACGCCATTTGTTCCCACAGGATACTGGAGCCCATGTGCACCATAGAATTGGGATCCGGTTATAGCGCCGGACGTTCGCTTTTCGTCCTCTCATTTTCGTAAACAACACCCCCGCCACGAGAAGGCAGTGAGTAGGACTTCCCTGGCAGAGGCTGTATACGCGTGGCCGTGTGAGAGTATTTCGAGAGGGAGGGCGAACCCTCCCCGCTCTCGGCCATATCAGGGCATTTGGGGGCCATCAAATCTTGAGATAATTCGAAACATTGTTATTCAAAAAAATTAAATGCAGTTTTATTTAGTTTGCATATATTTTAGTCTTTGGAATAGTACACTAGTTTACGTAAACATAATTCATCTACTGACTAATTTATTAATAACTTCATAATTCTTAAAGCAACTTAAAAGTTTACATAGGATATTCAAAAACAAATTGTATTATACCGAATGGTCATTTTCGATAATTTCTTCATCAGTCTCTAAAGTTATGAAAACAAAGTTGTTTTTATTATTATTATTGTTTTGCAATAGATGAAGCGTTAAAATTATATCGATTCATGTTATAATAGAAAAAGAGTAAAATGCACGTCGATAAATTCTCGAATACTACAGATTACTAATAAAATAACATCACTAGTAATAATGAAAAATGATTATACATAAAGAGTAAGAAGAAATTAAGTTTTGACTAAGGTGATATAACACATAAATGGTAATTTTAGATTTGTAACTGTAGAACCTGATGAAGAATTTATTAAAAGCGACCCTCCGCACTAAATACAATAACACCATTGGATGCCGGCTCAGTGGTTTAGTTAGTTATACGCCTGGCGCGAGACTGATAAGCCCTGGGTTCGAATCATGCGGGACGGGATCTTGGATGCGCACTGCTGAGGAGTCTCATACTTGGACGAAACGGCCGTCCAATGCTTCGAGGTTTTCCATGGCTGTCTAGCTTCGATTGACTTATGATTTCAATTATTGAAATTACTACAATCACAGCAAAACACCTTCTGATTCAAATACACTTTGTGTTTAAAATTTTAAGATGTAAATTAATATATCTAATATGTAAGATATATCTTATCATTTGTTAGATAGCAATAAATATATTTTTTCAAAAGAAAAAGCTGAAATAGGATACGGCATAATGAAATAAAATTTGATTGCATATGCCATATTTTATATTAACTCGATGGAAAAATAATCACTTTTGGTAATGATTAGAAAGAAGAAATTTGAAACTGAAAGTGATAATTAATTACATTAGAACAAGATGAATAAGCGAGTAAACAAAACTTTAGCAGCGGCAAAAGTTTTGTGTAAACAAAGACGATCTACTCAAAATGAAAACAGGAATTTTTCACCTACTAACATAATACAAACTCATTGTCAATCACTTTACTAGTTAAAAACAATATCTGAGTACTTCACGCTCCATATAAACTATGTATCAAAGTAGACAATACTAAACAAAACATCATATATTGTGAACTTTTGCAGTGTATTCTTGTTATGGATTTAGTAAAAATACAAAGCAGAGAAACTTGCATCAATTGATTATCCTGTTAAAGAAGTTTAAAATTTAGTTAGCAATTATTAGATTTGTTTTAATTCATTAGGCAGGTTGAATACAAGTTAAGCGTGGATGAGCTCTAAGTATGAGAAAGTAATTAGTTCAATTGTCCAATTTCTAAAGCTTGTAAAAGAGAATGACTAACCAGTCACGTAGTCTAGTGTAAGTCAACGTGAACAGATGTTGATGAATTAAAAAAGATTTATTATTTCTAAATTGAGAAGTTGGGTGTTTTTTTCTAATAAGTTAATAAATCACTGATAATGTGGTGTGTACTACTGATGTCGATAAATATAAGTAATATGTATCATCAGTCGAAAGTGAAATATCTTGCTGCAGAAGATCAAGAAGATCAAAGAAAAGAACGAGAACAGAGATTGATTGGTATGGAAAGGAAGGGACAATGAAGTCTGAGACAATTGATTAACATTTTGAAAATCAAGTATTTACTATATGGTTCTCGGATGTTACTAAAAAATTCAGTAATTTTGTATTCAAATATATTTGATGGTGTCCACTGGTGTTCTTATTCACCACAATGATATTGGTTGATCGAAAATACAATCCCAATAACGTGTAAATTATGATAATTTGAAATATAAAATTTATAAGGTACTCAACTGTATCATAAATCTTAGTTGTTTTTAAATTTATTGTCTAATTTTTGACTGTAAGAACTACTTATTAGTGTATCAAATTTCAAAACAAAAAAATGGTTATTTCAAGTTATAATAGTTTTTTTCTTTGAAAAATAAACATGAAATTGTGAGAACCATTTTATATTGAAGAAAGTGTGTTATGTTGATTTGAGGTTATTCTTTGCATGTTTTGTGTGATAACAATATTGTTTTCGATGTTAATGATTATATAAAACTGTATAACTTTCAGAATAGAACAATAGTCATTGTAGACTTAAAAAAGTATGAAATAATAATGACAATTATGTGTGACAACAATAATAATCATAAATGTAAATGAACTATCTACACAATTTAGTAAGAAAATAATCAAAAACATTAACTAATAATTTTGATTAAAATACACATGTGATGATAAAGAAATAATGGTCATTTAGTTTCTTTGATTTGCCAGGTTGAAAGTGTTAGGTCCAGATAAGCATAATGAATGGTAACTTTGGGATCCATTTATGGACCAATAATAAATGTATATTTTTATCGTATAACTGTTAAATAACTAAATTATTCATATTCATATTCCTCTTACCATAAGCTTTATTTTGACATATGAACCATTATTATACGTTTCACCATTCTTCAATTATGCTATGTCTATTAGTCACTGCCTCCCACACTCACAGCCACATTTGGCCAAATCTTGCACAAATGTTGTTTTCTATTTTATAGTACGTTGTGGTCTGTTTGATTGGTATATAATCCGAATATGTTTGGAATACATGATCTATATCGCAGAGGCTCGGGTTGATGTTCTGAACTTAACTAGCTGGGCTAGACAGGAAGCTGGACGAATAAGGACTCTAGACTGCTCGTATGGGTTTTACGCGTCACTAATCCGATCGATAAGTCACTGCTCCCTAATTGGCGGTATCATCATGTTATACATTAACAGGGCACTTAGGTCACAAGTTATAAGAGAAAGATAATAATTTTTTAGGAATATTCAGTTCAATAATAGATTTTTGGAGCTTTTATACTTTTCTTGTCGAAATGAAAATGAAATCAAGTTCATATGTTTCAAAGTTTTAACTTACCATATCAACAATTCAAACTGGATTTACATAGTTATGTTTACTAATAAGCTTTTAAAATATAGATATAATATGACGAGGTTAGTGATATAAAATGAAGGGACAGAAAAAAACCCACTAAAAATGTTTCTAGAATTTTGATTAAATCGATAATTTAATGAGAACTAATTATGTAATAGTTAAAAATTAGATTTTGTATCTTTATTTTGGTGATACTATTTAGAAAAGTAATTATTTCAAAGAATACTAACCAGATTTTAAGTCTGTGAAACATGGTTATTACTTAAAGCATTCAGATTACAGTCTGATGTTCTGTCTGCTTCACTTTTATTTGTCAGTGAGTTAGATACTCGTGATTTTAAAATGAAAATTGAAGGCTTTCAGGTTAGTACCTACCAGAATTGACATGAAGAATTGAGTGAAATTCTATTCGTCATTGACAGAGAATAGATCTTACGAATTTTGTGAATAAAATGTTCACTTTTTGGGTTTGTCAATATTTACGAACAAGCGTACTCATGTATGAACCACAGTCAGTTGTAACTCAAGTCTCAAACGAAAGAAGTAAATCTAGAATTAGTGTAAAATATTATGATAATCAAGATGATTTTTGAGGACAAACCACTAGCAAACAATTGGATTCATTTCATTGATAAAGTGAAATTTCTAACACTGATGACTTCATAAGTAAGCGTTACTTCTACTATTAAATAATGCATTTCGATGCTTTAATTACAAAATATTTTGTAGCTAATGTCACAATTAATTTTTTATGGATAAACATTCCAGCATATGGGATGATAAACAACTGTTTTAATGAGATACTTCTCAGAATTCAACACGTAAGACCTTAACAGAGATTAAACTAAAATCACCGAATCTCGGCATCAGAACCTGACCTTTCTAAAACTGAGTGATTCATATTTCTGACATTTTGTGTATACAACCTGACGTTTTCATGATTTATACCAACTTTTTACATAAGACTTTATCTATCTTTGTTTTAGATTATCATAGATAGAATTAAGCGATAAAATGTACAATATTGAAATACTTTATCTAGATAGTAAGATAAAGTTATTGAAAATATCTAAATAATATTTTCCCGAATTTATTGAATGAAATTGCGATCAAATAATAAAAATATAAAAATTATAGATACAATTCTCCGTATGATTATATTTAATCAACTAACTATAAAAAAACGATAATAATAATAATCATTGTGACGATTATGATTTTATTATTATATAAACAGAAAAATAACTCGACTTTCTAATTTGTAAAGTACTTGATTGTACTCTTATTAGAATTTCTAAATAATATACATGTTTGAATAAGTAACATTCAAGATGATCAATTCAC